TAATCGTTATTCACTCTTTTTATTAACAGAAAAGGAATTAATTGACAGCAATGTATTTCTGTTTTCCTTGGCACAAGAAATTGGAGATCGTAGAATAACCATGATGGCAGAAGACCATGAATTCAGTTCTGTTGAGGAAATCCTAATAGAAGCGGCCGAGCATAAGCATTGCATACTATATCTAAATTATAAAGGGTTATCTGAACTACCCACAGACTTATTTCAAGAACCCATCTGTAACTCTGTGGAAAGATTGTTCTTAAAACGAAACCAGTTGACCTCTGTGGTAAGTGTTCTCATAGTAACCATAGTAACTATTTTTTTTTTTCATAGTAACTAATTGTTGTCATAGTAACTGAATTTGTAATACCTGTCATAGTAACTATTTTTTTCAATTGTCATAGTAACTAATTGTTGTCAGAGTAACTGAATTTGTAATACCTGTCATAGTAACTATTTTTTTCAATTGTCATAGTAACTAATTGTTGTCAGAGTAACTGAATTTGTAATACCTGTCATAGTAACTATTTTTTTTAATTGTTTTAGTAACTAATTGTTGTCATAGTAACTGAATTTGTAATACCTGTCATAGTAACTATTTTTTTTCAATTGTCATAGTAACTGAATTTGTATTACCTGTCATAGTAACTATTTTTCTTTTATTGTCTTAGTAACTAATTGTTTCCATAGTGATTATTGTTGACAGTAGTTGCTAACACCTCCTTTTTCACAATGTATAAATTATTTCATCATTTCAGCCAGCTGATATTGGAAAGCTGACAAGACTTGTGGAATTGTAAGTTAAAGTTTTATAATCACTATTATCTTCTAGTTATTTGTTCATATATTTATTTATCAATTTTTATTTTAACATGTTTATATTTAAAACAATGAGCTGTGTACGTGCAAATTAATTATTACACACATGTTGTGGTCATTGTAAATATGTTCCAAAAATGGTCTCATGATACTCCTTGTGAATTTTACCGGAGTATTATGAATCAGAAGCAGTTAGTATGTACAAGAAATAATTCTGGTATCAGCTTTTTCATGAGTACATTACACACATTAAATAGCCTTGCTGTTTTTTAAACTTCATTGTGTTTATTACTGGTTCTCAGAGATCAAAAGCTGGCTCTATTACACCTCTTTCTCCTTCAAGATTTTATAGAAGATGGTTGACTTGCCAAAACAGCTTACATTATTGACTTATGACACATTATAAACACATTATGTCATATGTGATGTCACGTCATTTCCTAATATGGACAATGGTAGATTATATTATAATGAATTAATTTCTTCATTTCTAGATATCTCCACTCAAATAGCCTAGCATACTTGCCTGAAGGTAAGATTATTAGTCGCTAGTTTTTGGTGAAAGTGTCACAGTTTAGGGAAGAAATGTGTTAACTCCATATGGAAAGTCCAACAATGTAACCATAAATTTTGTTATAAAAAAACTAACACGTTGCTTGAAAACAGGAGAGGTAAAAAGCTGATTTTAACATAGGGCCCCCCTCTCCCAAAGCCCTCTACAGTTCAACTTTTTATACCACAATCCTTTGCATAATCCAATATGGAGGTAACACATTTCTTCCCTATTCAAGTACATGACTTTTTACCTCTCATTATGAAGTGTGTTGTCAAACTATTTGAGGCAATTACCGGATTCGGCTGATACCCCGCCCTGGGCGATCTTATGGAGGATTCGATTTTTTTTTAGAAAAATGTGGACCAAAAGATCGCCGATCTTTTGGCAGATATTACGAGTCCCATCTTGTCTAAAAAAATAACCCTGCGTTGATAGAAATAGTCTAGAAAAAATAATGTTTCGCGTTGACCAAATATAATCATGCAAAGTATAAATTCAAAGTGTTTTAATACATTGGTGAGAGGTCGCATTTTACGTGAACAAGAACATGCACTAAGAAGGAAAAGCAAGTCAAAGTCGAAACGGGGTGCATCATGGACATGACACAACACACGCTGCGACAACTGAGTGATTAGCGACATAATTTTGGGACGCAATTGA